CCCGTTACCCCTTGTCCTGTCACTGCAGTCCCTAATGAAGAGTCCCTCCCCAGCATCCCTATAGGCCCCCTTCAGATACTGGAAGGCTGCTATGAGGTCTCCACGCAGCCTTCTCTTCTCCAGGCTGAACAGCCCCAACTTTCTCAGCCTGTCTCCATACAGGAGGTGCTCCAGCCCCTGATCATCCTCGTGGCCTCCTCTGGACTTGTTCCAACAGTTCCATGTCCTTTTTATGTTGAGGACACCAGAACTGCACACAATGCTCCAGGTGAGGTCTCACAAGAGCAGAGCAGAGGGGCAGGATCACCTCCTTGGACCTGCTGGTCACGCTCCTTTTGATGCAGCCCAGGATACGGTTGCTTTCTGGGCTGCAAGTGCACACTGGAGCTGGCTTATGTTCATTTTCTCATTGACCAGCACCCCCAAGTCCTCCTCCGCAGGGCTGCTCTGAATCTCTTCTCTGCCCAACCTGTAGCTGTGCCTGGGATTGCTCCGACCCAGGTGTAGGACCTTGCACTTGGCATGGTTAAACCTCATGAGGTTGGCATCAGCCCACCTCACAAGCGTGTTGAGGTCCCTCTGGATTGCATTCCTTCCCTCCAGGGTATCAACCGAACCACACAGCTCGGTGTCATCGGCAAACTTGCTGAGGGCGCACTCAATCCCACTGTCCATGTCAGCGATGAAGATGTTGAACAAGACCGCTCCCAACACCAATCCCTGAGGGACACCACTCGTTACTGGTCTCCAGCCAGACATTGAGCCACTGACCACAACTCTTTGTGTGCAGCCATCCAGCCAGTTCTTTATCCACCCAGTGGTCCGTCCATCAAATTGATGTCTCTCCAATTCAGAGACAAGGATGTCGTGTGGGACAGTGTCGAACGCTTTACACACGTCCAGGTAGATGCCATCAGCTGCTCTAACCCTGTCCATCAGTTCTGTAGCCCCATCATAGAAGGCCACCAAATTGTTCAGGCAGGATTTCCCCTCAGTGAAGCCATGCTGGCTGTCACCAAGCACCTTGTTGATTTTCATGTGCCTTAGCATGCCTTCCAGGAGAATCTGCTCCAAGATTTTGCCAGGCCCAGAGGTGAGACTGACTGCTCTGTAATTCCCCGGGTCATCCATTTTCCCCTTCTTGAAAATGAGGGTTATATTTCCCTTTTTCCAGTCGTCGGGAACTTCACCTGACTGCCAGGATTTCTCAAATATGATGGCCAGCGGCTTCACAACTTCATTCTCCAGCTCCTTCAGGACCCGCGGATGGATCTCATCAGGACTCATGGACTTGTGCGCATTTAGGTTTTTAAGATGGTCTCGAACCAGTTCCTCTCCTACAGTGGGTGCAAGGTCTTCATTCCCACAGTCCCTGCATCTGCCTTCCAAGACTTGGGTGGTGTGGTCAGAGCCTTTGCCAGTGAAGACAGAAGCAAAGAAGTCATTAAGAAGCTCAGCTTTCTCCAAATCCTGTGTAGCCAGTTCTCCCAAGAGCTTCCTGAGGGGGCCTACATTCTCCCTAGTCTGGTTTTTGTTTGCTATGTACCTATAGAATCCCTTCCTGTTATCCTTCACATCCCTAGCCAAGTTTAATTCTAACTGGGCCTTAGCTTTCCTAACCTGGTCCCTAGCTTCCTGGACAACATCCCTGTACCCTTCGCAGGCTGCCTGTCCTTGCTTCCACTTATTATAAGCCTCTTTTTTCATTTGAATTTTCATCAGGATCTCCTTATCCACCTAAGGAGGTCTCCTGGCCCTCCTGCTGTACTTCCTTCTGGTTGGGATGCAACACTCCTGAGCTTGCAGCAGGTGATCCTTGAACATCAACCAAGAGTCTTGGGCCCCTCTGCCCTCTAGGGCTGTATCCCATGGGAGCTTACTAAGCAGGTTCCTGAAGAGGCCAAAGTCTGCTCTCTTGAAGTGCAGGGCAGTGAGCTTGCTGCACGCTCTTCTCACTGTCCTGAGGATCTCAAGTTCGACCATCTCATGATCGCTGCATCCAAGGCTGCCCTGGAGAGTCCCATTTCCAACGAGCCCTTCCCCATTGGTGAGCACGAGGGCAAGCACGGCCCCTCTCCTTGTCAGCTCCTCTATTACTTGCAGAAGGAAGTTGTCTTCTACACAACCGAGGAACCTCCTGGATTGCTTGTGCCGGGCCATACTGTCCTTCCAACAGATGTCAGGGTGATTGAAATCCCCCATGAGGACAAGGGCCTGAGAGCATGAGGCTGTTCCTGTCTGTCTATGGAGGGCTTCATCCGCAGGTTCTCCTTGATCAGGCGGTGTGTAACAGATCCCCACAGTAATGTCTCCCATAGCTATATTCCCTTTAACCCTGACCCACACACTCTCTGTTAACTGCTCACCTGTCCCCAGACACAGTTCCATACTCTCCAGCCTATCCCTAACATAAAGGGCAACCCCCCCTCCCTGCCTGCCAGGCCTGTCCTTTCTACAGAGCCTGTAACCTTCCAACCCAACACTCCAGTCATAGGAGCCATCCCACCATGTTTCTGTGATGCCTGTTATATCATAGCCCCGTAGACGTGCCCGCATCTCTAATTCCTCTTGTTTGTTCCCCATGCTACGGGCGTTTGTACAGAGGCATCTGAGCCGAGTTCCAAATGAAGCCGGCTCATTGCCTGGAGCAGCTGGAATATCTCTGCATCGCTCTGAGCATTTATTATAGGTGCTGGCAACTGAGTGGGTGTGTTGGGGTGGAATGATGCCCTCCTGCCCCAACACATCTAGTTTAAAGCTTTAAAGAATATAATTCTCACAGGACTTTCATTCGGATGTAGGATCATTGCTTTTTGCTCCTGTGAAAAGGCAAAGAGTTATGGGAGCATCTGAATGCTGGTGGTAGCAGGTATGGAAGCACTTGATGTGCCTTGCAGCCCCTCACTGGTTAGTGCAGGGAAGCTGATCTCTGAAAATGCCCGTATTCTGACTCCTAGGTAAAAACTGGATAAGAGGAAGAGAGAGCACAGCCTGAAAAACAGAACTACAGCAGGGAAAGGGAAAACAGATGAGATGGCATCAGTCTGTGCACTAGCTAGGGGTGAATCCAGGCCTCAGGAGGGTCCTGGAAGATTAGAATACTGGGATTAAAGTATCAGAAAGTGAGACCTAAAGTAATTATTTTATGCAGGAACAATTTCTCAGAGCACTAATCATCCGTCCAGAGTAATCTCCGAAATAAGACATGCTCTTGGCCACTCAAACACTTGGAGATCTCCTCATTTCCATTGCCCACTTGCAGAGAGTGGCCTCTTGACCACTACCAAATAACAGAGAGAAGAGTGAGGCTGAAGGATGACGGTCACGAGGTCAGGCAGGTTAGGAACCCAGAGATGAACGTGCTTGTCAGGTGGTGTGGGTGGGGATAAAGGTGCCAAGAATGCAGTCAGTCACTCATCCTGAGTTCCGCTAGAGAGAACAGTGACAGCAGCTCCAGCTCAGATACTTGTTTCATGGGAAAGGAGACAGTGTTTGGGCAGGAGATTAATGGGGTTTTAACTTTGAACACAAATGGGACATCTATTATATTTCAGTTGAATGCACATAAACATATAGTTGTGCTTCCAGAAACACCTCAAGTTATACCAAAAGAATAAAGTGAAATTTCAGGTTGCTGAAGAGTGCGTTATCCCTGTGAAAGGAAGAAATGTGTCAATGGATAAGTAGGAAAGTGAAAATGAGAAAGAATACAGGCAAAAGAGTATCTGTTATCAGGGTCTATACATTTCAGAACTGTTGCTCAGGATAAAAAGAGTGCCCGTGCTGGTGGAGCATATATTAATGTTGTCACAGGAGAAACTGAGAATGTCATCAAATGATTGTCCCTAATGATTAGGGAAAGAGTGCAGTTATTTGGTGATCCACGTTCCTGGGAGCTTCCCCTTCTCCGAAGACAGACGGGTCCATAGGGTCATTGTTTGTAAGTGGGATAACCAAGAGAAGGAGTGGCAGCCTTTGAACACTGCTTGGGAGAGAGGGGGAGGAATCCCTTCACCTCTGTGTAGGCTGAAAGGAGATTAACTGATATTTAGCCATGTATATTTATGTCTATAGATAAAGGAAATATTTTCTGTAATCAGAAAGTAAGAGTGTTTGGGATTGGATAAAATAGAAGGTGTCCTTGCCTGTGACAGGGGATTGGACCTGGATGAGCTTTAATGTTCCTTCCAACACAAGCCAGTCTGGGAGTCTGATTTGAATGCCTTGCAACCTCTCTGAGCCTTAAATAGTGAGCTAGAACTAACAAGATTGCTGTTGCATATCATAGAGGCCAGAAGCTTAGAGGGAATTGAAAAGTCTTAACGTTTCATAGAGTTGGAAAGAATATGAAGAGTTTTTTCCTGAAACAAAAGTGAATTGGGAGAGCTGCTCAGCCCCCTTCTCATTATATAAGCTAACATTTTAGTGATGGAGCATAGGGGAAGACTTGCCATCAGGAATTAACGTTAGAGAGCTCTGCATTGCAGGATATATCCCAAAAAGACATGCGAGGGAGGGCCAAGAAAAGTTACATTCTTAAAAGATATGAGTATCTTTTTGATCTAAACTGGTCCTTGCACCTTGAAGCCATTTCAAAAAGGACCTGGACCCCATTGCCACTTTCTGATGCTCTGCTCTACCACAATCACTGGCCAAAGCAGTTTATGTTTCAACTTGGTGGCTGAAGAAGAAAGCATCTGCTTTCAGCACATGGAATATCCATTATAAGTTTGATGTTTTATTAGTCACTCCTTATTGAAATTATTCTGGTTTTCACCAAAGCATGTCTTGATTAATTCAACTAAGTCAACTGAACAAGTGATCAGCATCTTGCCCACGTAGTGGCCACTGCCACTGTTACTGGTGCGTAAGAGCTGTGTGTGCAGTGTTCTACCTGTGTATTTCTTACTTTCCTTTATTGTTTGTCTTCTATTGTTGGAAACACTCTTGATACTATAGGCTCTTGGGTCTCTAATCTTCCCTTCCTCTCTCCCCCCTAGTGTCTATCAACTGGTTGTCAAGGAGGAGAAGCTGCAGAAAGCACGGAGAGCTGCAGACATCATAGAGTGCTTCTCTGTCCCAGTGAGCTACAAGAATGCTTCCAGTCTGGACTCACCACACTACTTTGCAGCCGAGCTGAAACCCATCAACCTGCCTGTCACTCAGCCCTTCACAGTGGGTGACAACAAAACCTACAATGGCTACTGGAATGCTCCACTTTCTCCTCTGAAAAGCTACAGCATATACTTCCAGGCTCTGAGCAAGGCAAATGGAGTAAGTGAAATTTTGAAACTGGATCTGTACATATGAGCACCTCTGGTTATCCTTGTCTTTCTCCTTCCTTCTTTCTCCACTGGATGCTAGTTTAATTCCTTATTATCCTCTTTAATGTACATTAAACATGCCATTACTTGTCCTTCTCTCAAGTCTCTCTCTGATGTCTAAATCCAACAAGAAGCCTACTAGGGAGCCAGACTCTAAAAGCACATGTTGGCATGTGATTTATGAAACGCATTGCTTAGCATTTGGACTTGTTTTTCTTTGCATATGTATGAATGTCACAGGCAGGGGCTATTGTCTTTTTAAAAGACACAACTGCAATACCTTGATAGTCTCTATATCTCAGTTCTTGTGAATTTGGAGGAGATATGAGATGAGAACTACCCAAAAGCCATGAGGTTGGATTACCTTGTAGCTTGCTTTTGGTTACATCATAACGTAGCACTTACAATTGGGAGCGTCCACTTGAGGAATTCATACTGTATGTCTGTGTGCATGTCTGTCTTACTCCTTTTGAATACCCTGGACATAGACTTTGTGATACTAAGTTCAAAATGGAGACTGCACAGAAAAGAGTTTGCCCTATTCTCAGACTCAGATGACATCCATATAATGCCCCACCAGATCCCTTTATAGGAAGAGGGAAGGCCTCTTTTCATGCTTCTATTCAGCCTAGGACAGTCTGTGACTTTCTCTTTTACCTCTCCTGTTCCAGGCCAGCTCAGCTAACAGTCTGCAGACCAGATCCACACTAAGCATTCACCTTCCTCCCCTTTGACTCCCCTGATTGTTTTTCATTATCACATAACATGATACAATTTGACCCTCTGACCTCATGAAGAGTGTCAGAGCATTAACATGGCATCAGGAAGTTGGGTAGCCAAGTCTATTATTAACACATGTGCCAGTACTTCCATGAATCTTAACCTTAATGTACATAAATTCTCTGAGACATCACCTCTGAAAGAGCAGAATTAGAAAGACTCAATCAAAGGTGAATGGTGGAGGCTTTGGTCTCCACTTGGGATAGTGTCTTTTGCATCCAGAACGGTGCTGCACATCACAGAGGACTGTGCACTGCCTTAACAGGCTGACAATGCCAGTGAATGCTCACAACATATCTCGGTGGTTTACTACCTTCATTTATCACCATTCTCCTGCAGAGTTCCTGCTGTGTGCCCAATAAGCACAAATCTCTCTAATACTCTGCTGCTTTTCACCTTTGTTTCCTGTGTAGTTGATAGTTTCCTTCCAGCACTGCTCAATTAATTCAATTTTAGTTTTGGCTTTATAAAGGAAATTATGAACTATCTATGTGTGTCTGTGTCTACTTAGTTCCCCCTTGTGTGATAGTTAATTGCTAGTGAATAGATCCCCAGGGAAGAAGAAACTTTATTTGCTTAAGTACAACATGCCATAAATGGGTTATATGGATGGAAATGTTGGATCCCATGGCATTCTAGATTAAAGCAGCACTGATGTGTGGTTCCTGCTTTTGCTGGATCTCTGGAGCTGGCAGGTTGCATCACACTCTACATATAAGGTGCTAAGGATTCAGAAAAGGATGACTTGCTTGTGCTGCTCTGATAGGAACATTAGGTTGTAAAGGATGTTTTAAGCATAGGTTAATCAAAAGAGCCTGTAATGCAATGATACACAGTTTATATGATGTACAGTGTTATATATATGTGTTGTGTGCAGTTCTGGTGTCCTCAACATAAATAGGACATGGAACTGTTGGAACAAGTACAGAGGAGGCCACGAGGATGATCAGGGGCTGGAGCACCTCCTGTGTGAAGATAGGCTGAGAAAGTTGGGGCTGTTCAGCCTGGAGAAGAGAAGCTGCGTGGAGACCTCAGAGCAGCTTCCAGTGTCTGAAGGGGGCCTATAGGGATGCTGGGGAGGGACTCGTCATTAGGGACTGCAGTGACAGGACAAGGGGTAACGGATTAAAACTTAAACAGGGGAAGTTTGAAATTCTTTCCTGTTAGGGTGGTGAGGCACTGGAATGGGTTGCCCAGGGAGGCTGTGAATGCTCCATCCCTGGCAGTGTTCAAGGCCAGGCTGGACGAAGCCTTGGGTGAGATGGTTTAGTGTGAGGTGTCCCTGCCTCTGGCAGGGGGGTTGGAACTGGATGATCTTAAGGTCCTTTCCAACCCTAACTATTCTATGATTCTATAGCAGCAGGAGAAATCTCTTGCCAGGCAAAGCAAATTCCTGTTTGAGCAAGCAAAAATAATTTATGTTGGTGCAATATATGCTTATACATCCTGGAAGTGCTAAGGGAAAAATTATACAGGAATTAGCCAAGAGTGGGATCTAGATCTTCAGAAGAGTAGATGTGACATTTCTAATTTTGTGTTAAAATCCCCACATTTCAAACATTAGCTGTAAATAGTTAAGTTTTGTTTCATTCATATATATTTGTATGTAAGGGTATAATTTGTGTTTAAGAGTTATGGGTTTTGATGTGTGTCTATAACCTGAGCAGCTTTGACTGCTTTTCCTAGAGCCAACTAATAGTTCTGACTGCAACATGGCGTTTCTGATAGTGCAATACCCAAAAACCCTGAGGCAGTAACAATTTAGCACAAATGCAATACAGCCTCGTGTTCCCTTGCACATGAAAAACTCAACACAACATTGCCACCCAGGTTTTAATTAGGATATTTTGTAGTTTCATTAATCACTGACAGGGGTGGAATCACAAAACTCCTGTCCACATCTGAAAGCTGCAGTGTGAACCCTCCATGCAGTGAACCAGAACAGCTTCCTTTGGAAATGTAGGGCTCTGGGGAGAGCTTAATTTGAAGAAACATTCGGTATGTGGTCAAAAAGCTTGATTAGGAGGAGGTTGGAAGTGTTATAGGAGTTCTGCATTGTTTCAGCTCTTCTGTACTTTGTGTTCATTTGGTGTTCTCGTCTGTTCTGCAGCCATTAGCTGTGGTTGTTACAGTGAAAGGAACATAATTAACAGCTGGATGCAAAACAAGTGTGGCAGATTGCTGCAAAATGAGATCACAAGCTTTTCTGCCTTCCCTGGTGCAGGGCTGGGCTTCTTGTTTGGAAGCCTGAATGAGATCGCTGTCGCTGGCTGACTTCTTTTCTGTGCGCAGTTGCCTGAAGTTTGGTGAGTGTGGTGCTGCTTCCAGACAGGGGTCTAAATGGAACATGTGTGAAACAGAAGAGTTTTGAGCTTTGTTATACAAAACGCTTCCAAATTGTGTGAATTTCCCTCCTAGGGGCTGTCGAAAGCCAGATGCTGAGCTGAAATGTGTCAGAGCCTGAAGTAAGAGGGGGAAAAAGAGAGAAAGAAAATACAAGCTCCGGGCTTTGTACCAGTGGGGGTGAGAAGCAGCATTAGTTACTTTATAATTGTTAGAAGGAGTTAGCAGTAGAAATGACACAGGATGAAGACTGGAAAACAGGTTTCATTTCCTCTGGCAGGATGTCCACACATGCTGTTGCAGGTAGTTAACTGATACTTGTGCTGTTGCCACCTGCTACAGATGGCTGCGTGACAGCGCAGGAAGCTTTCCTTCACTGATAAACATTCCCCAGCTCAGCCCCTTCAAAACATGAGCTCCTTCAGCCTTCATCCCCCTGCAAGAGGTGTAAGGCACAGGTACAGGGTGCCCAGAGAAGCTGTGGCTGCCCCATCCCTGGCAGTGTTCAAGGGCAGGTTGGACACAGGGGCTTGGAGCAAGCTGCTCTAGTGGAAGGTGTCCCTGCCCGTGGCAGGGGTTGGAGCTGGATGAGCTTTAAGGTCCCTTTCAACCCCAAGCATTCTGTGGTTCCATTAGGCAAGGCATGTGTGGCAACACCCTGTTGCTCCTTATCCTCTCTTATCTTTATACTGACTTAAAAATCAAAATCCAAATGTTGCAGGTTTTATTGTCCCCAGGTTCTTTATGTGGGTTGCCGCAAGTGACAGTCTATGGTTAGTGATCCAGCAACACGCTCTGAGGGGGAGATCTCTTTGGCTGCTCTGTGAAACCTGCCAGCATTTTTATGCAGCTTCCTGAAAACCCTTCCGGGAGTTTAACTCATCTCAGTGAGTTCACGTGAAATCTGCAATGGCACCATTGCAATCAATAACTCTTGGCCATTTTTCCTCTAAGTGGGAGATGAGGCAGGGCCTTATTAGCTCAGCTGGAGATGATGTGAGCCTGGTGGTCCGATGGGTGGGTGATGTTTTCAGGCCAGGATTGTGAAAAGTAGCACCACTGGAATCAATAAGAATATTATTTGTGAGGCAATAATAGGCTCTACAGAGATTCTTATTGATTTTTTTTTTCCTCTTTAATGACTTGTACTACATGCACAATCAGGCAGTTCATTATTAGCAGGGGACTTCTGGCTGGATGTCTAGATGCTGACAGGTCTGCTCACAGTACACAGCATTGTTCTTCTGGGACATTTTGGAGGTATGGATAGAGCTGTCAGTAGAGAGGTGACATTCATCCACGTAGAGATGGGCCATGGAAGAAACAGTGGGGTACTTCAGCATGAGCCGTGTTCTGACAAATGAAGTGTCACCCAGGCTGCCCCATGGCTGCTGTGAGCTATTAAACAGCTTTGGGGAGCTCAGTTCTGTAGGGTTTCAGGTGTGCAGTTTTGTCCACTTATGTTTACTCCTCCTTAATCTGACATTGGGGCAGAAATAAAGCAGCTGTGGAAGCGCTTCAGTCCGTGTAAGCTTCTGTTTCCACATCTGGTTGGCCATACTGGGCAGAGTGTGTGAACCTGTGAAGGTGCCTTCCCAGCTGTTGGGTCCCTAACCCAAACTGTTCTGTGATTTTATGATTCTATGACCTGAATGATTTTTGGAGAGTAAATACAATCCTTCTCTATTCTACCTCATATCTGAGAGGTTGAGAGGTCTGGGTATTCAGTGATTAGCTATGTATCACTGAAATAACTGTTGTAAATAGTAAAAGCCCTACCACTTTGTTAAACCTCCCTTCCCCAAGTAACACAGATACTAAAAGATAACTGGAATGGCAATACTAGGTTTATGTTAGTCTTAGAGAGCTACATTAGAGAACTAACAGTTTCCTTAAGCTTGTGATACAAGTCACAAGGAAGTTCACTGACCTAGAGAAGCTGTGGCTGCCCCATCCCTGGCAGTGTTCAAGGCCAGGTTGGACACAGGGGCTTGGAGCAAGCTGCTCTAGTGGAAGGGGTCCCTGCCCGTGGCAGGGGTTGGAACTGGAGGAGCTTTGAGGTCCCTTCAGTATGAACCAGTCTGGGATTCTGTGATTCCTTGAGATGTTCCCCAGGGTTTCTATGCTGTGTGAAGCAGCCCCCAGCAAGCATGCTCTGTGTATAGCTCTGGGACATGGAGAACTGGAGCTGACCCTGAGGCCAAGAGGAGGTTGCTAATTACTTGTCTGTGCACCCGCAGACGTTCGTTCCAGCTGCCTGATGGAGCCATGCCTGTGGCAGCGCAGCCCCGCGCTGGGGACGGGTGCTCTCACTGGTGTTGAGACAAGGCAGGAGCTGGTTAACAATGCACAGTCGTAATAATAGTAAAGGGAAGCAAAAATGGTGGGTGCGAAAGCAGATGGATGAAAAAGCTGGGCTGCTTTATTGTTGTTCATAGGCTGTAAACAGCAAGCTGTCATTTGAAAAGAAAAGAATAAAAAAATCAGCTGACCTTTTAGGTTGTGAAGACTCAGCTGTCACATAAACATATGTCCTGCTGCCCTCAGAGCCCTTCTCTGCAGCAAATTGTTCCCATCCAAACACTGAAGAGACAGAGGCAGAACTTGTCTTGTTATCATCCAAGTGCTTCCGTGAAATGCACCTTTAGGAACCTAAGTAATTAGTAGACAGCATCAGCTCCCTTGCTTCAAGAAAGACACAAACTGCATGAAACAAACTATTTTAACTACTACAAAATGTTAACAAACTTCCTGAAGATTCAGAGGGATGCTAGAACAGGTTCAAGTCTTTGTGAAGGAGCTGTTGGGAGTGAGGGCTCACCAGGCTCCTCAGGGCAGTCTGGCTGCTCCTCAGAGGGTCTGCAGCTCATTCTAACTATAGGTCCAGTCTGTCTTCCAAGAACAGTCTGCCAGCACTCTGCAACACTGTCCTGCTGTGGTCTCTGTCCATGGTGTATGAACCTACAAATACAGCCAGGGTTTAGCCTTCAGTGAGCGTATACAGGGATCATGCTTTATTCATAGGGAAGTAAGTTCCGCAACACAAATATACATTAATATGTTCTACTTAACATGTAGGTGGGCTTAATATGTAGTAAGCTTTCTGGATATGAAGCATGATAGAAAATGAATACAGCAGTCTTCCAAAATGAATATAGTGGCCTTGCAGTGCCTAAAAGGGCCTCAAGAAACCTGGAGAGGGGCTTTGCACAAAGGCCTGTAGGGACAGGACAGGGGAATGGCTTTAAACTGCCAGAGGGGAGACTGAGATGAGCTCTTAGGCAGAAGCTCTTCCCTGGGAGGGTGCTGAGGCGCTGGCCCAGGGTGCCCAGAGAAGCTGTGGCTGCCCCATCCCTGGCAGTGTTCAAGGCCAGGTTGGACACAGGGGCTTGGAGCAAGCTGCTCTAGTGGAAGGTGTCCCTGCCCGTGGCAGGGGTTGGAGCTGGAGGGGCTTTAAGGTCCCTTCCAACACAAACCAGGCTGGGATTCTGTGATACAGTTGTCTGAAGGTTTGATCAAGAGCTGTAGGACGTGTTCATGCAGTGGTTTCCCATTCCCAATGCCTGCATTGTTCAATGACTGGATATAAATGGCTGCCTTAACCTGGCAGTGATACCGAGATGAATTAATAGTGCTGCTGAGATCTGAAATTATTTGTCTGACTTCAGCCATGAGATGAAGTATATGTAAGATCCTGGGTCATCATTAAGATTGTTGCAGCCATAAAAGGCATTTGAAAGAACATTTAGAAATAACACAGAAACTGAAATTTGGGGATTTTATTTTTAGTTTTCCAAAACTTTTGTTATTATCTCTTTCCTTCATTGCTTCTTGTATAATTGATTTAAGCCACCAGGATAGATAATGAAGAATTACCTGTGGTGTTTATTCCTGCTTTACAATTGGCTAAGGAGAACCATTCTCACTGTGCAGGAAAGCCCCTGGTCTGAATCAGAAGTTGTATGTATTCTGTTTCTTGGTAGAGAAGTTCAAGCCCACGGTTTGCAGCATCAAAGAAAAATATAGTAAATTTAAAGAGATCGTATTTCTGTAATTTAGCAAAGAGATGAGCAGTGGGTTGATCAATGGGCTGATCAATAGAAATCAATGGAATAATCAGCCCTAATCAGGATTATGGACAAAGTTTAAGTCTTTCAGCTTCAGCATCCCTCATAGGTGGACGCCTGTGTCTGTGAACATTTCTTTTATGTTTTCCTTCTCAGAAGATGCAGTCTGAAGTTCTGAAGTCCAGATGTCTTGTTCCTCTAGTGATGGATTGCCCTTGCTTTTGGCAGTGCCTGATCATGGTCTTGGAATAACTGTTATTGTCTGTGCTAAATGCAGCAATTAGTAGATGCAGACAGAACACACATCCTGTCTTCCCAAATTGCCCTGTGGGAGGGTAATGTGCAGGAATATGTACATGCTCAGATGAGATCAGTTACAGCATCATTAACAACATTTCAGGTTTTGTTCTCTCACCTCTTCCTCTCTCAGCATTGACTGATTACTCCAGCTTTTTTGCTACACTTTGAAGCTAACAGAAAGCAAGGAAATTGACCTCATCAAAATGCTATCAAGCGTCCCCCTCCTTTTAGACTGCACAAATGTCATCTTGCTGGTCTTTATTTTAATTTTCATCACACATTTTCCAGGTCACCTTGTCATAGATTGTAAACTCCATCAGGATCTGTCTGTCTGATAATTCCCAGCATTGTGTGCTGAGGCTCTGCACTGAAAACAGAGCTGTGTTTTTCCTGCTTCATATATCATCGCTAGCAATAAAGATTTTGGTTCTCAGCATCAACTGGCAATTCCGACTGATTACACACATGCAGAGATGAATGGGGAGCTCTGTTGTACAGCTGTGGTGACTTTGCAGTGCTGATGGATGTACAGGTTGTGTAGGGGAGATGATTTTGAAGGGAGAGAAAGGTGTGTGCACCAAAGAGATGCCTCTGGTTTATTGGGATTACCAGTGCTTCAGTCTTACTCTGGGAGCTCAATGCCTGGGAAAAGATGGCCTTAATAGATGTGAATTGTCCTTGGTGATCCGGGGATTCTTTGAGAGAGTTTGAAGGCAAGATGAAAGGGACAGTTTGACCTTCTGCATAGCTCATTGTTTCTAGACTATACACAGGGCTGCTTATAGCCAGGTAGTGTGGCTGGCTGATGTCTTCAGGCATGCATAGAGAGGCATCAGAGGGAATTGCTCTTGTGTGTCCCAGTGTGGATCCTGCAGTTGTCCCCTTCTGACGTGCAGCATATGAAGAGAAAGGCACGCTGGGGCTGTGTGTTTCTGCTCTGGCTGAGGCCTGTCACAGATGGAACAGATTCTCTCTGTGAGCAAATACAGCTTTTCCCAGTGTTCATTTTTCTGCTCACAGACAGACTGAGGTGCTCAGCAGTGCATTTGTTAGGCTGTTGTTTCCAGAGCACAGGCAGCATCCATATTAATGTAGCATTGTTCCACACAGTAATTTATGCAGTACTCATTACACCTGAGACATGTACAAAAGCGTGTAAAGACATAAAAGTGCTACAGAAGCCTGCAGCAGATGACTGCCTGACACAGCTTTTAACCAAAGCAACACATTCAGATTTGGATAGCAATCATGGACTGGACAGAAGTGACCCATGCCAGCAACGGCTATAGAATGAGGAGCTGGGGATAGCAAAAAGCAGGTTTTTCAGTGGAGGTGGCCTCAGAAGGCTGCTGCCTTTGAGCTGTTAGTTAAGCCAAGCACAACCTTGCTGTTCTGATCCAGGCTTCTCTTTATGTGGATCTGTGGGCTCTGAGGTGGATGGAACAAACGTGTTGGGTTTTAGCCCAGCTCTGCACTGAACCACCGCAGTGGTGTGGGTTGTGATGGAGCAGCTTGCTTGGCAGAGCTGCCCTACAGCAGCTCTTCTGCTTCCCATACATAGCAGAGAGCTCCACTCCTCAAATGGCTGCTCCAGTGTCTGCCTGCTGTGTGTTTAAATAAATACCCAATTTGCAGAACTTGCATGGAAATCAGATGTACACTTGCATGTGCTTTCGACCCAAGGCTTCTCTGCCCGTTACAGATCAGGTCATTTAACCGGTGAATTTTGTTGGTTAATCAGGGATCCATTACTCACGCATCAAGTATGGAAGAATGTGTTGTCATTCTTCTCAAGTTAGAGAAAGCAGCTGTGGACAAGTCCATTAGCATGGAGTGTTTCATGCAAATAGAACTGTTGGTGCTATTTTCAGGAATGAAGTGCAAGAAAAATGCGTGTTTTAGTTCCTTTTTAAGTATGTTTGCTGTAGATGGGCAAATGACACATCTTGATGTTTTCCTCTGTTGTTTTTGTATTTTTCAGGAAACAAAAATCAACTGTGTCCGGCTGGCAACCAAAGGTATGTGGGTCTCCTTTTCCCTGCAAAGCATAATGCCAGTATTGTAAAAGCTGCAGTGGTGACACAACTTGATTACAGTTACTACCCAAAGAACAAGCCTCTTGCCTTCCTTTTTATTTTTCCTTTTTATCTGGTTGTGTTTAAAAGGAGGATTACAAAGGCAGAACACAGTTTCTAGGACCCTTCTATGTGTAGACTGTTAATTTTTAAAGACAGGTTATTTATCACTGTGGTTCCTCTTTTCCCTTAATTCTGTTGTCAGTCCTGGGGACTGTTCTTGCTAGTGGCAGAACGTCACTGAAAAAGCAACATTAACTTCATATAAAAATTCATTCTCTCTGCAACTGTGTAAAGTAGATAAGTAAGAGATCTTGTGTCAGCCTAGCAGTGAACGCAGCGGGGCACGATTCTTATATCACACCATTCTCATGGTGTGATTCAAGTAACTAGTAGAGTTTATTCCTGACTTTTATTGCAATTAGTCCAGGACAGACCAAACTGATAAATCGGATAGACCAGACTGTGCAAGCCTGAGACATATTGTTAAGATGCAATGCTCCCATTCCAGGTTGCTTCACAAGGTAGAGCCCTCAGTGATGACAGTGTCTGGGTTCCTTCTTGGAATCTAGAGCTGATTTTAACAACACTTGTAAGGACTTAAATATCACTCCAGGGCCTGCTTTGACAGCAAAGGTGTCAGAAACCAATTTACCTGTAACACAGAGGAGTGGCTGTAAAAGGGCTCCTCAACACGTGTCGCAGAATCCCAGACTGGTTTGCGTTGGAAGGGACCTTAAAGCTCATCCAGTTCTGATCCCTGCCACGGGCAGGGACACCTTCCAATAAAGCAGCTTGCTCCAAGCCCCCGTGTCCAACCTGGCCTTGAACACTGCCAGGATCACTTTTGTCATAGTCTCAAAATGAGCCATAAGGAGATGATCTGGTAATGGCAATGGACCATGCTATCCATGGAGGTAGCTCTCCATTCCAAACTTACGGTGACCACCTTGTGCTCTTGCTGCTTTGCTGTAATATGAAATAACTGCATCACTGCCTGTGGAGTCTTTCTTTAGAGATTTAAAATGGCAGGGGCTCATGATTTATTTTCTTTTTCGAGGCACTATCCCATTTTCCCCATGCTTTTCACTCCTTTGTCTTTTGGCAGTAGCAGAAGTTAGGTACTTTTAGGTACTTTCTCGTGATCCCTTCTGCATCTGCACTTACAGAGCTTCTGGGAGGCCTCAAAAAAACCCCACCTAACAGTTCTTGGGTAGCATAAGAGGACTTTTTCAGTCTTCACCTGGAGGCATCCCCCAGTCCATTAGAGAAGGCCGTGCATGAAAGATGGTGGATGCATGTGCATCCCACCCCTGCAGTTAGTTCACTGCCGAGAGCTGGTGTGGCGCCAGGTGGGGCTGTAAGCAGTTGTGTCACCACTGAGAGCTTAAGGAGCATGAGCCGTTTCTCCCTTTCTCCTTTTCATCCGTGGCTCTGGTGCTCCCTCGATCCTCTCGTGGCCGCCCTTTTTGAAAAGTCCTTGTAAAATCTTTATCTAACTCATTCTCTGGTTACAAACGTTCCGTGTGTCTCCGTCTCTCTTCCTTCCCCCTAAGTTCCAACTGGTAGAGATGTGACCATTTCAGATACCTTATTTTGGCTTTCTGGTGGTGGAAAGAGGAAGAGCAGGACTGGCTGGGACGAGTCTGCATGACAGGAGTCTTCCCAGGGTTTTCCCAGTGCATAAGTAGAGGTCTCTTCATGAGATCAGAGAAACTAGGTGAAATCTAGTAGTTTCTTCTGGTTTAGTCATTCCTTTTGGAGTTGGTGGAAGAAAGTTGTCATGCTAGCAGGAAGGATATTTGCTCTGTGACTAACCAAGAAAAACCTCCGTAGTTTGGAAAATGCCAGCCTTCATGACCTTTTGATTTGCACTGCCTGATCGGAGTCCTTCAGAAGTGTCACAGAAGTGTTTGACCTGCAGTTGACTTCTGCAAACTGATTTAATCTTCATTAACCTGCCAGGTCAGCAGGAGGAGTCACTGAGCCTCCCTCATGCTGTTGTTTCTGAACGTCATCTCTTTTTATAAAAGGATCTCTTACTAATATTAATTTGATAAAAGAGATGGGGAGAGCCTGAGGATGCTGAGAGCCACTGCTCTGGATGGGCTTATTGTTTAGGATTTTTCTTGATTGACGTGCATGGAAAAGGACAGGAAATTATGGTAGGTCTAGTGTTTATTCTCACTGTCTCAATAGATATCACTTTGGACTTACAGGCAGATATCTTATTTCTATATCTCTATGGAAGTTTATTTTTCCCTTCTTTTTTTATTCTTGTCCTCACTCACTGAATGGCAGTGTTGTGTTTCCCAGTGCCTGCCCATTGGGAAGGACACTGGAATGTGCCCAGCAGTGGCAAATTTTACGCAGCCTTAACTCCTTGAAGGGACAGTATTTCCTGCAGCTCACAGCAGGGGTAGCGTCACGAGCAGATCTGTGGTCTGACAGTATCTCCCATTGCTAGCACCCTGGAAGTGCTTCCCTGTGAGGGTGCTGAGGCGCTGGCACAGGGTGCCCAGAGAAGCTGTGGCTGCCCCATCCCTGGCAGTGTTCAAGGCCAGGTTGGACACAGGGGCTTGGAGCAAGCTGCTCTAGTGGAAGGGGTCCCTGCCCGTGGCAGGGGTTGGAACTGGAGGAGCTTTCAGGTCCCTTCCCAAACCAAACCAGTCTGGGATTCTATGACTCTATGAAGGATGTGCAGCCAAGCAATAGCTGAACAGTGTGGTTCTGTGCTTTGGAGCTTTCCTATAGTTTCTGATTTCTGTATGTCATGAGGCTGAATTCCCACCATACATTAACTCCATATGAATAGGATTCAGACACTCCACATCCCAACTCCTGAGGAGGGGTGTCATATCTGCCCTCTCTCTGATGGGTAGCAACAGACAGAGACACTCACAAAATCAACATTACATTGTGATCTGTTCAAAAGCTGTTAGCTGGGATGTTCTTGATGACCTATTGCTGTCTTCTACTCATTACATTGATTATCTTTAATGACATTGCCCTGTATTTGTCTTTATTTGCATCGCTGTCTTTCTGAGGATAGAATGAGCAAACCTCTAGTCTGAAGGAAATCATCAGAGCTGTTCACGAAGATCCCCTTGTGGAGTCAGGGAAAAAACGTAAAAGTTTTTTGGAAGCAGGGCTGATCTCAGCACTGACAGCTTAAAAGCTTGGAGTTGGTACCAGGGAAAAAGCATATTTTGTTTTGATGCAAGAAAATAAATACATACTGCTAGTGCCAGACTAAATGTTCATTTGGGGATACAGGCCTAATTTTTCCATTCCTACACATCTGACACTTGCAGAAGCTCCATTAACATTAGCGAGATGAGTTTTGATTTACACCAGTGCCAGGAAGATTGGGATCAAGATGTGTTTAAACGAGGCAAGTGGTTCTCTTGGAGCACTGGATTAACAAGGGCACTAAACATGAATGTGGGAGTAATTAGGCAATGAAATGTGTTAGGCAGCGTGTTTCTGGGGGTTTAACACATCTTGGGTGTTGCTGCACGGCACCTGGGCAGAAGCAGCAGAGCTTTAATTCCTTGAGAGATGCATGAAGCTGCTTCGCTGCCACCGCTTCAGCAGGCTGGGAGGCAGTTCCCTTTGTAAGACCCAGGAAAATGGAAGTAGACGACTGATATTGGGAAGAAGCTCTTCCCTGTGAGGGTGCTGAGGCGCTGGCACAGGGTGCCCAGAGAAGCTGTGGCTGCCCCATCCCTGGCAGTGTTCAAGGGCAGGTTGGACACAGGGGCTTGGAGCAAGCTGCTCTAGTGGAAGGTGTCCCTGCCCGTGGCAGGGGTCAGAACTGGATGAGCTTTGAGGTCCCTTCCAACCCAAACGAGTCTGGGATGATTCTAGTTCATTTAAGAGAATTTTGGAGCTGCTCCCTTTTAACAAGAAATAGACTGTTCAGACCAACCCCTGTTCAGTTCAGGTCAGATTCTCACAGGAGCTGTTCTCACCCGTCACAGAGGTGCATCTTCTGCATGGTTTTGTGCTTGCTGCTCCTGTTGAGATGAACTGGATTCTTGTGGTTGCCAGAAAGGTCTCTCAAATCTTTGTGTATTGGTTTGTTAAATGTTGGAGTATCAGCATTTCAGAGCAGGAGGTCTTGGCACCAGTAGTGCATCCTCCAAAGGAGAGCTAGGAGATATAGCAGATACCCACTGGGTAAGCACAGCTGTTGAACTCATTTCCTTCTATCCAGTGTCTTGGCTGATCCCAGAGGGAAGGGCCAGTTGCAGGGACTCATCATCAGCCTTTGCTGTGGTGACAGTGCATCAGAAAGCTCTGTGTTTGTCCAGTCTCTGTAGTCCTTCCCTGTTTTGCCAGCATGTTTCTAATCCAGAAGCATTATTAACCTCTTGTGTCTGTGTATGTATTTTCTGATTCATTGATCTGAGATTTCTTACCACTTCCAGCCATAAACATCTCTCCTCACATGGACTACTCCTCTTCTCTGAATTACTGGAGAAATGTCATCTTTCACAGCATTAGTCACTTGGGTGCATATCATTAGCATAAACCACTCGTTAAAAACAAGTTTCTCATTAAAGCCTGATTTACCAGCTCTCTGCCATACCATTTTCATTCAGACGCTTTATTTATTAGTTTTGCCATTTGGTTTCCTTGATAGCATTTGTTTTAATCTGTCCCATTCTTTCTGAATTAACTGACTTGTTCTCCCTGTCTTAAAGTAACATATTTATATTGACATTTTATTAGAGCAAATTGCAACCTCTTACCAAGAGAGAGCGATTACCTCTTGTGTTCTTAAAGTGCATTAAATTAATTTTACACTGTAATTGAAACCAAGGCAGAGGGCTCATTAATGGTTCCTTATCTCTTGATGCTCATTTCTTCTTCCTTGAAAATGTGAGTTCTTGCAAATGAAAGAATGGAACTGTAATAATCACTATAAGGTACATTTTTATTTTTCCCTTTTTTTTTTTCCTCGTGCATGCTGCCTGGGAACCGTTTTGCTTGTTCTTAGCAGTAATGGGTAGGCAACAAGTGACCACGCGAAACCCGCCCAGCCTCTTGAGCACAGGTGATTATCAGCTCAGGACAAGGAAAACTGCTCCAACTTCCCAAGTCTGAGCAGCTTCGTGACTTCTTGTTTCATATTTGGTTTGCATGGGACAATATGACAGTTGTTCTAACTACAGCATACAGGGGGCACGCCTGTTGAATAGTCGATGTGAATACTTGCCTGTGCATCTGGAGGACCGAACACAGTTTAAGTCTCCACAGGGGCGCTTGAGCATGGCTGGAGAGCCCCATGGAAGCCCTGCTGGTCCTCTGCAGCCTGAATCTCTCTGAGCATGCGTGGAGATGATCTTGCATTTTTTTAATTCGAGTAGCTATGTCATTAGGTGGGGCTGATTATTACACTTGGACAGTCGAGTGCTGCTGTTAAAGAAATGATGGCAGGGAAATGAACTTGATTCTGTAAGCCCTCTGTATAGAAACTTCTGCTTGAATCTGAGATGTTGTAGGATTGAGCCTCAGTAGCATCATTCACAGATCACTCCTGGGGAGGTTCAGAACTTCCCAAGGGTTTCACAGTTTCAATCAGAATGAACTTGGAGGTCTGTGTGTCATAAACTTCCCTTGTCATGTGTAACACTGGGAATAGGACCATCATTTAATTCCAGAAAATTTGAATAGAGAGCGAATCCTGTCAGCTTGTGGAAGCAGTTTCTTCTACTTTAGCCTGATGGGCACAGAATGACTTCCTGGGATGTGACAGAGTTCCATGTGATTAATATGAAGGGGAGGAGAAGGAGGGTTGGTTTTCTGATGAGAGATGGATTAAGTTTGTGTAGGGACATTCCTTTTCTAGTGCTCTGTGATTATTCCTATCTAGCTGTGACTTCCTCACCCAACTATTATTTCAGCTACACATCAGAGCAGTTGTGATGATACAGGTGCAAAAGGTATCGGGATTACTAGGAAATTCAAATGTTTTTAAGACTGAGAAAAGTGCTCCTGCTTTTCTGTAGCACATAAGCACTGGAAGAAGGAACCTTCACGGGACATGAGTGCATAACAATATTGAGACCTCAGTAATGAGCCTGTGTCTGAAAGGTGACCAGGGAAATCATGGTGGGGAGACTGAAAAAAACTAATGGAAAATGAGGAAAAAACCTCTTACTGTTCACACAGTTTTGCTGCATATGAAAACTGTTCATTTAATGGCTCTTTCTCCCTCAATTTAAGGGGGCTCTTTCGCTTTCTGAAATCTATTCTGGTTTTGTAGACAGATAATGTATTTTTAAAACAGATCTAATCCCACTTCATATCTGTTTGTATTGCATTTTGTCTTCTGATAGACTGGAATGTTACTCCTTTGACAGGTTTATTCAGTTTTGTGCTATTTATTTCAGAGGGTTTTATCACACTTTTCATGTTGAATGCATGGAACTGTTTTGTTTTGGTTTTTTTTCCCTGAACAAATCTCTGCCTTCTAAAAGTGACTTTCTAGCACAAGTTTGTGCATCACCGGAATTAGATGTTAATAAGGGACACACTGATGTTGCTCTTGCTGAAAAATATTCCCTGCTGGGAAGACAAATCGAACTTCCAGGTGTGTGGATGTCCACTTAACCCAGAGAGCATCTTTATTTGCACCAAACTTGCTGTCAGGACTTAAAGGAATTTAAAATGTCAGCTTTAGGGACAGGCTGCTGCTAATGAACCAGCTTCCCGTTAGTGAAGAACCTGGTGCAGAACTGGATGAGGCCACAAGTGAGTGAGTTTGATAACTTCAGCCCAGGTTCTAGAGTACATTCTCTACTGCAGAGCTCTGCTGCACTGCCAGACCCTCATCTTGGGCTCCCCTGTTTAAGTAAGCAGTGGGAGGGGAGAGGGTGGAAGCTTCAGAAAAGAAGGGTCTTTATTAAAAGCAGAATGAAATCCATTATTACTGTGTGATCCAAGCCCTCCTGGAATCAAAGCAAGATTCACCTGAGGTGCTGTGAAGGTCTTTGTCTCCTTTCAATACCCACCTGGTGTGAAAGGATGCTGTTGGCCATGTGTGGTGGCTGTGGCTGGTAGGTTATACAGTCACCTATGTGTGCAGATAACCTGGCAGCCAGGCAAAAGAGTGGAGGAAAAGGCAGTAGTTGGACATTAAAGCCGCAGTAGAAGGTTGAATTGGAAAGAATTTTTGCAGTGGATGATTAATCACTTGTGAGGTTCAGGGGATCTCTTTTCTTCCTCTCTTTCTGCTTGAAGATTTGCAGGGAGAACTTTCTAAATGTCCCCTGAAGCACAGGGGCTGAGGGATAGGGCAGAGGAGGAGGCAGTACAGGAGGGCTGTTGCATTTCAGAGGCCAGCAGCATTGCACGGCCTGACCTGCATACACTTGCACCAACTTACTTGCATTGTCAGTATTTCTTCTTCATTTCCCAGCATCTGGAGGTGCTTTCCAAGGTCTGTCAGCTCTTGGTCAGGTACTGAGGATCACTTAGAAAGTTATTCATAAGCAGATGATCATTGTCAGTGTCCTTAAATAACACTTCCAAAGGCATGATGAACCCAAGGCTATTACAAACACATTATCCCTCTGCTTCCTTAACTAGATGTTTCAGTGGGGCAGTGTTCAGGCTCAGGGTTAGTATCAGAGCATCTCAGTGTCTTCCAGACACTGGACATTTAAAAAACTCTGTGGTAGCATTAGGGTATGTGACAATGTTCTAAGAGAGGTAAGTGCGAAAGAGACTGTTTTGTAATATCACTGTAGAGGAAAATTAAAATCTGCATTCAAGACGTGCCTGGCACTGCTCCTTCAGCTTGGCAAAGTACAGAAGGTTTCCCAGTGTTTTATGCAGCACACGTAGGGTGTGTATGCACAGACTCCCCAGTGCATTGGCCGTATGACTCCCTTTGACTGTAACGTGGTGAGTACCCTCTTTTGCATGCTGCTCAGTCAGCTCCAGGGTGAACTAGCAGACACAGCTTCTGTAGGCCACCCTGGTACTTCAAGTACCTTTGACCAGCCAGGCTCAACAGGTGCCCTGATTCCAGTGGTCATTTTATACACACCACTGGACTTTACTCACTGGGCTTGGAATATCTCCTGCTGGACTAGCTGTGGAGATTTCATAAGAGGAGAGCGATGCTACTGTAACAACAGGACAAGGGGTGATGGGTTTAAACAGAAACAGGGGAAGTTCAGGTTAGATAAAAGGGAGAAGCTCTTCCCTGTGAGGGTGCTGAGGCGCTGGCACAGGGTGCCCAGAGAAGCTGTGGCTGCCCCATCCCTGGCAGTGCTCAAGGCCAGGTTGGACACAGGGGCTTGGAGCAAGCTGCTCTAGTGGAAGGTGTCTCTGCCCGTGGCAGGGGTTGGAACTGGAGGAGCTTTAGGGTCCCTTCCAACCCAAACCATTCTATGATTCTGTAACCATGATGAGCAGAGATGTTTAGAGGGGACTGGCTGGTGCAAAGGTTAATTAGGTTTTGTTTGTTGGGTGCGATGAGTCTATTATACACCTATAGCATTGTCATGTACTGTGAAGTTTTTGCCTGATCACTCAAGATTGATCTCCCTGTGACTAAGAACATGCAAAAATGAAGTCACATCTGTAAATGTGAACTTGTGATAATGGGAATTTTTCCTGTTTTCCATTTTTATAATTGCAAGCTAGTTTCTAAGTCGCTCTGCAAACGTGGAGAGCTAGGATGGAAGCATCACTCTGAACCACTGCATCACTGGTAGGCATCACAACAGCTGCTCTTTATCTGAGCTCTTCTTTCAAGTAAATATAATAACCTTGCTCATTCTTGGAGGCCATGTATCTGCCTCCAGCACAAATCAAGAGCTGCTGTTCTGAAGAGAGTGGAAGAAAAACAGGAGAAAGTAAAAGCCTTTGTGGTGGATTTTCCTGGAATCTTCAGAATCAGTTATTCTCTTACTGCTGGTTTTTAATTCTCACTCAGTTTCGTAATGCTAATCTTGATTCCTTGCTGTGTGTTTACCCTCATCCTCCTACAGATTCAACCCATATGCCTGATAATCCCTCATACAAATGCTGGTCTGTCTTTCTCTCCAGGACTGCTTTGTTTTGCTGCGCTCTCTCCTTCAAATATGGTCGAAAGCTTTTGGCTCTCATCATTCTTTCCATTTCTTTTGAGCTTTTTTAAAGAAATGAGAATGTCTCATTGAAGTCCTAAGTCTGTGCTGTGCAGTCTTCAGTAATAGGAGGTAGAAAATTGATGTAGTGATGTGATGTGTAGTGGTACTGTTGATGTTCTTCTTTTTTTTTAATGAATTACAACAAAGAAATAGCCCAGGTGGAATCTGTCAGATTTGGTGGGCTCTTTCACTTTGTTGGTTTATGATGGGCCTAAAAGAAACCTGGAGAGGGGCTTTGGACAAGGGCCTGTAGTGACAGAACAGGGGGAATGGCTTGAACCTGCCAGAGGGAAGATGGAGATGAGCTCTTAGGCAGAAGCTCTTCCCTGGGAGGGTGCTGAGGCGCTGGCACAGGGTGCCCAGAGAAGCTGTGGCTGCCCCATCCCTGGCAGTGTTCAAGGGCAGGTTGGACACAGGGGCTTGGAGCAAGCTGCTCTAGGGGAAGGGATCTCTGCCTGTGGCAGGGGTTGGGGCTGAATGAGCTTCAGCATCTGTTCCAACCCAAACCAGTCTGTGATGATTCTACGACACACAGAAGCATCAGCATCATGTTAGCTTTATTTTAGTCCCAGTTCTCTGGCTTATACAGGGGAAGGCTACAAACTAATTTTGTCTTTCACAACCCCTGCATGTGGCCAGTTCACACAGAGCTAACAGGTATTGTGGATCAAGAGCTAGAACGGTGCCCTTCCAACTTTATCTCAACATTGCCAACCTTACAGGTGCCTGACTGCCCTTGTGCTTTTACGTATTGGCGACTGTGTTTCAGATGCACATATAATCAGGTTCTCAGGGAAAACATTTCTACGTGCAGTGAAGCTTTAGTCATTTGTAGGCCACTCACATAGAAAGCACCATAAAAAAGAAAAAAAAAAGAAAAAGAAATCATGTTTACAAGTGATTTGAGAAT